GTGAGTGACACGAGTGGTGTACAGTCATGGTGTACAGTTGTGTACAGTCATGGTGTACAGTTGTGTACAGTCATGGTGTACAGTTGTGTACAGTCATGGTGTACAGTTGTGTACAGTCATGGTGTACAGTTGTGTACAGTCATGGTGTACAGTTGTGTACAGTCATGGTGTACAGTTGTGTACAGTCAAGGTGTACAGTTGTGTACAGTCATGGTGTACAGTTGTGTACAGTTCACCTCACCGTGAGGCTGATCACAGTCTACATGTGGGGCTACTGAGTGTGGGTTAGGTGGTGGCTTGGTTTACCTTCTCTGGTCTACATATGGGGCTACTGAGTGTGGGTCAGGTGCTGGCTAGGTTTACCTTCTCTAGTCTACATGTGGGGCTACTGAGTGTGGGTCAGGTGGTGGCTAGGTTTACCTTATCTAGTCTACATGTGGGGCTACTGAGTGTGGGTCAGGCGCTGACTAGGTTTACCTTCTCTAGTCTACATGTGGGGCTACTGAGTGTGGGTCAGGTGCTGGCTAGGTTTACCTTCTCTGGTCTACATATGGGGCTACTGAGTGTGGGTCAGGTGCTGGCTAGGTTTACCTTCTCTAGTCTACATGTGGGGCTACTGAGTGTGGGTCAGGTGCTGGCTAGGTTTACCTTCTCTGGTCTACATATGGGGCTACTGAGTGTGGGTCAGGTGCTGGCTAGGTTTACGTTGTTGCTGTTGTTCTTGTAGTTTCAGGTACTCAAAACAAAAAGTTCCAAGTAGCACGGACTATGGTGAGCCCATAAGTGAAGGCTCTTTGGAGCCATTATCTGTATCAATAGCTGATACCAGAGCTCTTGGGATGGATGGGTGGTTTTCAGCCCTGGAGCCTGTACCAGTTATAGAGCTGGTGATAGTGTAGGCCTTAAGGTCTTCCATTTCTCTTTGGAGGCAGTACTCTCAAAGGTTGTTGACGTAAAGACACTTTTGCAACAATAATAATTTACTCAACAAACTTACTTACTAATACACGGCAATGACAACTATACGTTACGTTACGTTCCCGAGTGTCACTCCAGAACTAAACAATGCCAGCGGCAGCAGAACGTTGTCCTACCACTCTATCTGGTAATTAATGAGACCTGGTCTCGAACCCTCTTGCATGGGCAGGAAAGAAACAAAGTGAACTAACTGAACACTAACGAGTGCGCTCTCGGACTCAACTGCACTCAACTCCTGCTGTGGTAATCTACAATGATGCAATACAAACAATAGCAATAATAACAATGCAAGACTTGTCACTAAGACAATCTTCAGTTAATTAATTAATTAATTACATTAACACTTGTCCCTTGGACTGCAATTCAATCAAATAAACAATTAATTTATAATATTAATCCTTTTTTCAAACCGACAGCTTCAACAGTAAGTAAGTACATTAGCACTGTCACACAGACAGTAACAAACAATAAGTAAGTACATTAACACTGTCACACAGACAGTAATAAACAGTAAGTAAGTACATTAACACTGTCACCCAGACAGTAACAAACAGTAAGTAAGTACATTAACACTGTCACCCAGACAGTAACAAACAGTAAGTAAGTACATTAACACTGTCACACAGACAGTAACAAATTAAATCAGTAATCATCACTTTGTCGCTCAGGACAACATCAATCAAATAAGTAACTTGTTTCTTTAAGTCTCCTGTCACCCAGACAGTTACTAAGATGAAAAAGATACTCAATACTGTATGTCAACACAATCACAACAATAAAGCGCCTTACTCTATCAAAGCGCCCAGTAAATAACGCCCTACCACGCGCTATGTACTGGGTGGCAGGCGCACGTGGTAGGGGGTGGCAGCGCACGTGGTAGGGGTGGCAGGCGCACGTGGTAGGGGTGGCAGGCGCACGTGGTAGGGGTGGCAGGCGCACGTGGTAGGGGTGGCAGGCGCACGTGGTAGGGGTGGCAGGCGCACGTGGTAGGGGGTGGCAGGCGCACGTGGTAGGGGGTGGCAGGCGCACGTGGTAGGGGGTGGCAGCGCACGTGGTAGGGGTGGCAGGCGCACGTGGTAGGGGTGGCAGGCGCACGTGGTAGGGGGTGGCAGGCGCACGTGGTAGGGGTGGCAGGCGCACGTGGTAGGGTGTGGCAGGCGCACGTGGTAGGGGTGGCAGGCGCACGTGGTAGGGGTTTCAGGCGCACGTGGTAGGGGTGGCAGGCGCACGTGGTAGGGGTGGCAGGCGCACGTGGTAGGGGTGGCAGGCGCACGTGGTAGAGGTGGCAGGCGCACGTGGTAGGGGTGGCAGGCGCACGTGGTAGGGGGTGGCAGCGCACGTGGTAGGGGGTGGCAGGCGCACGTGGTAGGGGGTGGCAGGCGCACGTGGTAGGGGGTGGCAGCGCACGTGGTAGGGGGTGGCAGCGCACGTGGTAGGGGGTGGCAGGCGCACGTGGTAGGGGGTGGCAGGCGCACGTGGTAGGGGGTGGCAGGCGCACGTGGTAGGGGTGGCAGGCGCACGTGGTAGGGGGTGGCAGGCGCACGTGGTAGGGGTGGCAGGCGCACGTGGTAGGGGGTGGCAGGCGCACGTGGTAGGGGTGGCAGGCGCACGTGGTAGGGGTGGCAGGCGCACGTGGTAGGGGTGGCAGGCGCACGTGGTAGGGGGTGGCAGGCGCACGTGGTAGGGGGTGGCAGGCGCACGTGGTAGGGGGTGGCAGCGCACGTGGTAGGGGTGGCAGGCGCACGTGGTAGGGGTGGCAGGCGCACGTGGTAGGGGGTGGCAGGCGCACGTGGTAGGGGTGGCAGGCGCACGTGGTAGGGGTGGCAGGCGCACGTGGTAGGGGTGGCAGGCGCACGTGGTAGGGGTGGCAGGCGCACGTGGTAGGGGTGGCAGGCGCACGTGGTAGGGGTGGCAGGCACGTGGTAGGGGTGGCAGGCGCACGTGGTAGGGGGTGGCAGCGCACGTGGTAGGGGGTGGCAGGCGCACGTGGTAGGGGTGGCAGGCGCACGTGGTAGGGGTGGCAGGCGCACGTGGTAGGGGTGGCAGGCGCACGTGGTAGGGGTGGCAGGCGCACGTGGTAGGGGTGGCAGGCGCACGTGGTAGGGGTGGCAGGCGCACGTGGTAGGGGGTGGCAGGCGCAGGCGTGGTAGGGGGTGGCAGGCGCACGTGGTAGGGGGTGGCAGGCGCACGTGGTAGGGGTGGCAGGCGCACGTGGTAGGGGGTGGCAGGCGCACGTGGTAGGGGTGGCAGGCGCACGTGGTAGGGGGTGGCAGGCGCACGTGGTAGGGGTGGCAGGCGCACGTGGTAGGGGTGGCAGGCGCACGTGGTAGGGGTGGCAGGCGCACGTGGTAGGGGGTGGCAGGCGCACGTGGTAGGGGGTGGCAGGCGCACGTGGTAGGGGGTGGCAGCGCACGTGGTAGGGGTGGCAGGCGCACGTGGTAGGGGTGGCAGGCGCACGTGGTAGGGGGTGGCAGGCGCACGTGGTAGGGGTGGCAGGCGCACGTGGTAGGGGTGGCAGGCGCACGTGGTAGGGGTGGCAGGCGCACGTGGTAGGGGTGGCAGGCGCACGTGGTAGGGGTGGCAGGCGCACGTGGTAGGGGTGGCAGGCGCACGTGGTAGAGGTGGCAAGGTGTTTTGTTGCCCACTTGTGCAACAAAAGTCATTCTAGAGCTAAATCATCTCTTGTATGAGGAATGCTTGAGGGTCACAGGGCTAACAACACTGCAAACCAGGCATGACAGGGCGGATCTCATTGAAACCTTTAAAATACTTAACATTTTAGACGATGTTGATCCGGATATTTTCTTCAGAAGGTCAGATTCAACACAAACAAGGAGCAACGGTTCCAAGCTCAACAAGCCACAATGTAGGACTGAGTATATTTTAGAACTAGGTATATTTTCAAACTCATCACAGTTTGGGCATACCCGCCGAAGATGTAAGTGCCATAGCTGTGTTGAGTTTTAAAATCTACTGGAAAAAATCATCAATGCCAATAAGAGGAACTCAGACAAGCCGCCGGCTTCGTCAAGGCTATTAGGGTTAGTAGCCCTCAGGTAAATAAGGAAGGTAAAATTCCATCTTTCAGGATGGTTCACAAACATAGGAAAAGACCGGAGTGAACTAGGTTGCACTAGTAAACTTCTGGAAAACAGTGAACAGTGAATATGACCAGGACTAGAAAATGTCTGGTCTGAGCAGACACTTTCCACATCTGGTACAACCCCTTCAGGAACAGCTGGCCCCCCATCGGAATCTTCTGTGAAACAAACAGCTTTGGCCGATTTGAACTATAAGTAAATGAAACAGGTTTAGAGCACTCTGACACCATCTGAAATTGATTCACTCTTGGAGTCACCAACAACACAACAAGACTTAGAAGTGCACCTCTTATGTCTGTCGCAACTCACAAGAACAACAAGAAAAATTGTAAGGATCACCTGTCTTATCTGATTCAGGTGACGATCAGTGTTGGACAAACAGTTCGGTCTCTTAACAGCTCTGCAGGAACTATCAGAGTGATAAGACATGAAAACCCCCAAACACGGTATCAAAATCACAACCACAAGAACAAGCTCACACCTTTTGACTGTGAACTTTATGACAAAACAGTCTATAATAGCAATCTTGGCCTCCCATGAGAGTAACAGAACCATTCTGGAACTTGGATAGCACTTACTATGAACCTCACTCAGTAGGTTACTTCCTCCTGGTGATATCAAATAATCCAACAACAGTTTTAGGGTCTAATCACCTTATAGATATACACCAGAGTACCTGTAAAACACCCAAAGGAAATTTATAGAACTACACCCTCATCAAACCAAACATAAAGGATATTCCCGTCCCATTCCAACTTGAAACTCTCATTAGTGATCATGAAACTCTGCTTCAAAGTCAGTCCAAACCGTACAACACCGCTTTTGCATTGGGAATAAGGACTACACATGAACTTTTGAAAAGTTCGGGAAACTACACTTGCAGTAAAGAAACGTACCAGATGCAAAATAAGAGACTGTTCT